GGCTGCGGTGGCCAGGAGCTGCCACTGCACTCCAGTCTGGGCGACAGAGTGAGATTCCAACTCAAAAAAAAAAAAAAAGCATCAGTAAGGAGTGGGGATGAACTTTCATCAAAGTCCCAATGTAATGAAATATTCAAACCTATTCATACACAAAACATTCTGCAAAATATTCAAAACATATTGCTTTCATCTTTTTTCAGAAATGGATCTCAACCAAATATTCTCACATACTAGAACATAGCTATAACATCCACATTTTTTTCTTTTGAGTTGGAGTCTCACCCTGTCGCCCAGACTGGAGTGTGCTGGCACACTCACAGTCACCCCAGAGTCGACCTGCTGGGCTCAGGCAATCCTTCGACCTCAGCCTTTCAAGTAAGTGAAAATACAGGCGTGCACTACCATGCCCGGCTAATTTTTTTTATTTCTTGTAGAGATGAGGTCTCACCAAGTTGCCCAGGCTGGTCTCAAACCCACGGGCTCGGGTAATCCACTCGCCTCAGCCTCCCAAAGTGCTGGGATTATAGGCTGAGCCACTGAGCCCGGCCTAACTACCACATAACAACAGCTCTTTTGACAAAAATGAAAGCAGGAAAATTATCTTTGTTTTAAAAATGAGAAAAATAGGCTCAGGTAAGCTGGTAATTTGACTATGATCGCACACCTACTATGTAACAGATCTTGCACAGGAAGCCACATTGTAAATCCCTGACCAAGACTCATTCCACATTTGCCAGATATTACCAACTCTGCTGTTACATTTATTTCACCCTTACAAAGATGACTTTAGAGCAGTACAGAAATTACATAACTACCAACTGACTTCCTATTACTATTAATAGTATACTTTCTCTTAAACTACATTTGCATTTCTAATGGGAAGTAGACAAGGAAAGGATACAGACTCAAGTTCAAATCAGTCAAGTACTAGTTATTAAAAACTATATTAAAGTTATGTCTAGGAGAAGTTAGACCCTAAACAAATTTAACTATTGAAATATACCCCGCCGGGCTCAGTGGCTCAGCCTGTAATCCCGTGCTTTGGGAGGCTGAGGTGAGTGGATTGCCTGAGTCCACGGGTTCAAGACCCGCCTGGGCAACTTGGTGAGACCTCATCTCTACAATAAATCAAAAACTTAGCTGGGTGTGGTAGTACGTAACCATAGTCCCAGGAACTTGGAAGACTGAGGGGGAAGGATCGCCTGAGCCCAGCAGGTAAAGGCTGCGGTGGCTGTGAGCATGACCCTGCACTCCAGGCTGAGTAACAGAGTGAGACTCTGACTCCAAAAAAAAAAACAATTAAAATTAATAGCCAAGACATTATAGTTACAAATTTCTTATAACACCGACCCAAGAGGTGACCGTATATCTGTGTATCTAGAAGTCACTATTTACAAGAGTAAAATAGGAAGAAAAAAAAACTGCCTCTCTTATAAAATATGTTTATAAGAAAACAAAAAGCTTAAAGACACTCTTTTCAGAAAGCATCTCATTCAAAAGGAAGAGAGTAGAGCAGGCTGGAAAGGATAGCAACAGTTTATTTTCCACAGAATGTAAAGGAAATCTATAGAAGCAACAAGGTCAGCATGGCCGGGGGCCCACACAAGACATCACTGAACAGATCAGGTAGAGGTTTGAGAATACCAAGACTTCATGTGTTCACATTCAACAAATCACAACTTCTCAAGCACAATTCTGAGATAAAGCAGTTCTCACTTTCTCCCCTAACAAGGAAAGAACTGACACCCTGAGAGCTTCAGTAACTTGCCCAAAGTCACACAGCACACGCAGTTGGGATTCCAAAGCAAGTCTTCTCTCACTTCTCCTTTCTTGAAAAGGATGTATCTAACAAGTCCTCAGGGACTAAGTAACCAGCAAGAGAGTTCATAGGGGTACTCAGAAGAAACAAAAGGCTGCCCCTACCTCCAAGAGCTTACCATTAGTTAATTACTTAAATTGTTTAATATAGAATTACATACCAACATATAATTACCAGCCAAAATAAATGTTACCAATTACTTCTGTGACTACCACTCTACAGAAAGCTTAAAATTCAAGAAAAGAGAACTCCTTATCTCCTGAGTCTTCTATCCCACTGCTACTAGGCCTAATTCTTCAAGGTCATCAAGACATTCCTTATCTCCTATAGCCAGCAATTCTCTGCAACCCATGATTCTGTTAAAGATTCACTGCCGGGCAGCCACTACTTTTCAAGAAATTATCACTTAATGTGACGTTTTCTTAGGTGTCATAGTTTGTTAGGCTACTTAAACAAAATACCATAGACTAAGAAGTTTCTAAACAACAGAAATTTACTTATCACACTTATGGAGGCGAGGAGGTCCAAGATCAAGGTGCTGGCAGATTTGTGTCTGGTGACGATGCACTCTCTGGTTCCTAGGCAGTGCCTTCTCACTGTGACCTCGGTTTTTTGAGGGCTCCGCCCTCATGACCTAACCACCTCCATGACCTAACCACACCCCATCTCCTGATACTACTGCATTGGGGACTTAGATTTTTTTTTTTATTTTTTTAATTTTTAAATTTTTTTAGTTGGAGTCTCACTCTGTCGCCCAGACTGGAGTGCAGTGGCAGCTTCCGGCCACCGCAGCCTCGACCTGCTGGGCTCCAGTGATCCTTCCACCTCAGCCTTCCAAGTAGCTGGAACTACAGGCGTGCGCTACCATGCCCAGCTCATTCTGATTTATTGTAGAGATGAGGTCTTGCCAAGTTGCCCAGGCGGGTCTCGAACCTGCGGGCTCAGGCAATCCACTCACCTCAGCCTCCCAAAGGCACGGGATTCCAGGCTGAGCCACCGAGCCCGGCTAGGGGACTTAGATTTTTAAAAAATTATTATCGTGGCCAGGTGTGGCAGCTCAAGCCTGCTATCCCAGTACTTTGGGAGGCCAAGGTGAGAAGATTGCCTGAGCTCAGGGGTTCAAGACGAGCCTGGGCAACTTGATGAGACCTCGTCTCTACAATAAATCAAAAAATTAGCTGGGCATAGTAGCATGCACCTATAATTCCAGCTACTTGGAAGACTGAGGTGAAAGGATCACCTGAGTCCAGCAAGTCAATGCTGGGGTGGCCATGAGCATGCCACTGCACTCCAGCCTGGGCAATAGAGTGAGAGTCCAAAAACTCAAAAAAAAAAAAATTATCGTGAGCCAATTTATAATAGTGGATTCGGATTTCAAATATAAATTGTGGGGGGACAAGCATTCAGACCACAGCACTGTGTCTTAAACTATCTTTTCTTTCTGAAGGTCCTTTATACTTTTTTGATTTGTATCATAGGAATCACACTAGACAACATTTGCTAAGACTTCATGGGACAGCAGAAAGAATATATGTCTTAGATAACTGATTCAAGTTAAGGCGCTACCAAGAAATGGATAAATTACTTAGTCTGTGACTTCAGCTGAGCTACAAAACAGGAGTGATAACTGAAACTATTAATTTTAAGACCATGAAGAAAACAAGTGGGAATTTGCAAGAGTACTTTACAAACTGAAAATACCCTGGGGATAACTGAAGGTATCTGTAACCCTCAGCCCAAGTTCTTATATACTGCTGGGGAGTGTTGTGCCCCTGGGGCCCAACTACCATTCATCACGCAAAAGGGAAGAAAGAAGTCTCTTCTAAATTGTGGTCCCTCTCCTACTAATCCCCCTGTCCTTTCCTGGTTGCACTTGTACCCCAAAACTCTGCTTGGTCAAGGTCCAGGGGTAAAACTGGTCATGAATGTATAAACAAAAGAAAACTGACCTCTGGGCTCAACTCAGCCTCCGAAAGTGCTGGGATTACAGGCGTGAGCCACCGCACCTGGCTAATTTTTTTATTTACTGTAGAAACAAAGTGAGAATCCCACTTAAAAAAAATCATTTTTGTTTATATTCACTAGCATAAGTCTCATATTTTGAAAATGTTTTCTTTTTTTTTTAAGTGAGAAAGCAGAATTTATTGAGAAGATAGAAAAGCTCCCACAATGGGAGGGGAACCAAAGGGGTTGCCCTGAAATGTTTTCTAAAATTTCTATGAGAGTATTTATTAGTCATACTCCAAATTAGAAAATTTTAAACTCATGGAAAAGGCTATGTTTTTTCATAAATCAGAAACAAAAAAAACTCCACAGAAGACATTAAAACTCCATACTAGGCTGGGTGTGATGGTGCATGCCTGTAGTCCCAGCTACTTGGAAGGCTGAGGCAGAAGTATCACCTGAGCCCAGGAGGTCGAAGGCTGAGGTGAGCCAAGTTTGTGCCACTACCACTAGGCTGGGTGACAAGAGTGAGACCCCAACTCAAAAAAATAAAAAACTCCATACTATGTGATAACACATCAGAGTGGACATAAGTTACCTATAAATGTTAAGAAAGCAGTTTTCAATAGCTGTTATAAAATGCCTGCCAGTTCCTAAATTGTGAGGTCTACCACAAGTCATGCTACTAGTATGTGAATGACATGTATCATTCAGACAAGTTAAAGCAGAACCAAGAGTTTCCTCAGCATCACTTCATTTCCTGGCTTACCTATGTGCTTTTTCTGAGTAGAAAGAAGCAGAGTTACAGCTCCGAGTCTCCAAACTCATGTAACTCACAGCCTCTTTCATCCATGTTACAACGCAGATGACATGTGTGCACAAAGGGGCACGTAAATGTTACTTGTGATGTCAGGAAAAATGCTTAGAATCATCAAAACCAAGAAAGCAATTATTAAGAAACATTTTTAAAGTCTGTTCAAAATTTCAAGTAAGGCAGTTTCTCTACATTACCTTTGCTCGGGGTAACAAAGTAACAAGATATATATTATGTTTAAAAAAACATTTTTATTTTGCTTTTGTTTTTTTTGAGTTGGAGTCTCACTCTGTCGCCCAGACTGGAGTGCAGTGGCCGCTCCCGGCCACC